TCGGTTCGGGAGATTTGCCCAGCCCTAGAGATAATCACGTTTATGAGGGGGTGATTATCAGCAATGAAGTGAGTATAACTTTAGTCTGAAGAGATGTCATAGTTATGGCTGAAGCGAGGATGGTGGATGAACAATTATATTTAAAGAAGGAATCGTAGATGAAGAGAGAAGTTTTAGTTTATTTTGAATAAATTCTCCCTCTTCCTTAAAAACCAATAATTAGCATAAATTGATGTTAATTATACTAATAATTTTAAAAATTAAATTAGGATCTGATTAGTGAATAAATAAACTTTAAAATTGATTATTGAAGTTGAAAGTTAAAAAACATGTTTAGGTGTAATTTCCTCTTTATTATTTATACCTGCAAATCTGGGCCGAGGTTGGAATGGGTTGCAGCCCGTGCCTGTCCTAGTAGCAGCCCAAATTCAAGTTCGGCCCTTTTTTATTTTTTAATATTAGCCCATGAGAAAATTGAAATAGCCCGTATTCCTATGACATAATCCCGACCAAAAACTTTAAAACCCAAATGGAATCTTAACCCTAAACCCAAATGCCCATTATCCATTTAACACGAACATCCCAATCCCTCGTTCAGTCATTCGACATCAAATCTATTTATCTCTCACACAAGAGTGAGGTAGTCTCAGTATTGCTGGTAGTCGCAGTGTGAGGTTTTGATTCCTGATATATGAAATTGGACTCTTTGTGGGCATCGGTGTACGGGTAAGCTCTTGTTCCCTAACCTGTTGGAGCACATCCCGCGATTTACCTTCATCACGATACTCCAGGAGCGGGGCAGTGAGGGCTCTCAAGGTTGGGGTTCAATCTTTTATTTATCTCTCAATCTCTGATGTGTTAGTGTCTGCCTCTCTTCAAATTTCAGGTAATGCCTCCTCCAATCGCTCGTGTTCTTATAAAAAATTAGGGTTCTTCTTTAATTTTATTTTGTATGTCCATTGCATTAATTTATCTGGTTATTGTATTAAATGACACTTTCTATAAGTTAGAAAAGATATTGGTATCTTTTGAATAAGAACAAAATATGATACTTTACGTAAAATGTTAAAAGTTTGGAATGCTTGTTCGTGTTTTATGCTCTTGATAGTATAGATAGATTTTTTATCGAATGGCAAGTGGTGTGGGAAAGAAATAGTTTGTCAATGGAAATGCAAAAGAAGTAAAAGAAAATTATGGGCTATAATGATTTGGACATAATTTCTGGGTAAAGGTTGTGCATTGATATACCAGACTTAATAATTTGGTATGAACATGTTGGAATGTGAAATTGAAGAAAATTTGAAGAATATCATTTTGTTGAATAATCGTAGGATCATTTGTTGAACTCAAATTTTATTTATCTAGAACTCCCATGACGAAAAGAGGCTCTGTATATTAAAGAAATGTATTTGTTTTCAAGATGATGGTAATAGTCAGGGAGTTTCCATTTCGTAGAGAGAGGATGGTCACAAAAAATAATGAAAAGAGAAGATGAAAAATTTTCGTACTATTTGAAAAAAAAAAAGAAAATATGATGCTAACGGGTATACTACGAGTAAAAAGAATAAAAGAAGCATATGTTAATTGCAAGTATCAAGATATTAACATCATTTGCTCTTTCAAGATCCCTTATTTGATTATATCTTGATTAATTTTAAGACATTTTATACCATTTCTCAGTGATTTTTTTTGTTTGATTGTTTATACATATGATTTTTTCTCCATTAGATGAGATAAGTCTTCAATCCCATATCAACTCCATTTTATATTGTTTATTATTGGCATTAAAATAAAGTGAAAGTAATTGAATTCTTCTACATATTTTGATAGCTTTCAAACTTGGTTACTTGTTGCAAATTGTTCCAATTTTACGCTACTAACAAGATACATAGTTAGCACTGAGCAAGTATTTATATCACTATATATACATTTTTTTTCATTTATTTGCTAATTTCTATTCATAATATTTATATTTAAATAAAATTGTTGAATTATTGTTGCCTTGTTATTGAATTGTTTGCTGCATTTTCTACTTATTGTTGGATAAATTAAATGTGATCATTGAGTAAGCATTTCCCCAAATGAAACAAGTGAAGATGGAAGATGAAGTTTTGCTGATATTACGTCATTTTTCATTGAACAATGCTTTGTAGAGAAAGCAAATGTAAATTCTACTATAGATGAATTTTTATGCTTTGAAACCTCGTTAGAATCAAATTGAATGAATAATATCATGTAATGGCTTTTTTATTATGGGCTTGTTTGAGCCACATTATTTTCAAAAAATTACATTTTTCAACAGTGATTTGACATCATTTCAATCACACATTTTTCAATAAAATAATATTACACGCAAATTTAAAAATTTTCCTTATTTTTTAACCACACATTTTCCATTGATTTTACATGAATAATGCATTTTTCCTTAGAATGTGGCTCAAACATAGGCTATATTTCAATTTTATTACTGACTTTCTTAAATTTCAGCCACACCTACAAAAAATTCTTGGATCAATCTCTGATTATTTATGCACCATTTTTTCCATTTCTACCCCCCATTTGTCAGCTTTTCTTGGCAAAATTGGTTGGAATGTTGTGGGTAAAATGGGTAGAGGGAAAAGTAAAAAAAATTAAAAAAAGTACACCATTTTATCATTCACATGTCAAAAAATGCAAAAAAAAATGACTATCAAACCCTCATGAGCATGCTTGAATGGACGGCCCTCCCACTATCTCAAATATGTTGCTTGAGTTCGACTCGATCGATTGAGGATATTAGTAATACTTGTGATCTTGCGAACTTGCTTCCAAAATCAAGAAACATTCTGTTACAAAAGTAATGATAATAGGTATCATTTTTTTCATTTTTGCTTACTCCGCCAAACCCATAATACCTATTCTCAGTTTCACAAGGACAAGGTAAAAAATTACTTTTAAGAAATGTAACTTTTTTTTACTAATAATTATGAAAAAAAATATTTAAAAAAAATGATAATAAAAGTAATGTGACCTTTTTTGTCCCCTTGAAACTCAGTCAAACATGCTGTGAAGTATATTCTTATGGTATTTTATATGTTCTTTTTGCACGTGTATAAATTAATGAAGAGCGTGTAAACAGATCAGCAATGTCTGTAAGCCACACTGCTCAAAGGATAGTTGGATTATTAAGCTACAAATGGTAGTTGGATTGATGAAAACAAACTACAACACGAGTCAAATGATGGTTAGGTATTGTTTTGTGGATCTTTTATTATTCTTTTCAAATATGTTTAGTATGTAATTAGACAATAAGTCAAAGTACAGTTCCAAAAGAAATAAGATTTCTTCATGATTGTGAACAACATTTCTATGTCGTGAGCGGTCTTAACCTTGTGGAAAATATAATTGGGTGATGGAAGATATAATTTGGTGATCAACTTATTTATACGATTTTGTCAGAAGGAAAATATTATATCGATCTTTATAGTAATATGCTATAATTCCCGTACGAAATTTTGATTATCGATTTAGTTTGGTTTGGGAGAATTTAGTTGTCAGTTGAAATACTTCATGCATAAGCTATATATAGCATTCTATGAATTATTACACGATATCTAGTATTCTTCATTTACAACTATTTGGAAAGGGAAGATGGAATGTAATAGGGAGACGAAAGAGGAAGACGATGATTGAAAAAGATTAGAGTAATTAGGATAAAATCAAAATTAAACATTTAGCTCATGCGTCCCCATTTTTTAAAACTCATTTTTACATTAACTCATTTTGACAATCAGTTTTTATCAATTTTTAATCACATATTTCATCAGTTTTTATTAAAATATACTAAAATTTTGATTTTTAGCCAAATCAAACTGGGACTTAAATTTATTCTAGTTTCTACCTCTAAGTTCTAAAAAGACCATTAAAAATCAAATTAAATTTGAGTCTAGTTCGATTTTATACTTTTTAGGCCTCCTTTGTCACCCATTGTTTGAAAATCAAAGAGTTTTGAATAGTATTTTTTAGAAAATATGTGGTTAAAAAATAAGGAAACTTTATTGACTTGTGTGATGATGAATAATATTGTAGCAAACAATTTAAAATTTTAAAGGTTTTCAAACAGGGGCTTAATGAACGGTTTAATTTTTTCTTTTTTTGTTAAAAAAACATTATATTTAGTTTCACATCATTTTTTCCCGTTGCGATGGAGAAAAGAATATCGACCTATTCAGTCTTGAAAACGAGGCACATCCCCTTCGTGCAATGTCAACTCCCAACTAAATTTTATTTTTATTTTTATTTTTTTTAAACTTTTTTAGTTCTTGCTAATTTTCAGGAAAAAAAAAAAAAAATACAAGGCTTGCGCTTTTGAGTTAAGCTCAACACATTCGATCTTTTATCGATTTTGGTAGCGTCCACGCACCCAACTACCTACCTACCTCTCAAAATTCAAGAGAAAAATGTATTGCTTCTACCCAATATATACACAAAATTAGAGAGTCAAAGTGCAACCATTTCTCTGCCCTTTCACTACAACTTGGAGCCCTTTTTGCAGGATACCCCCTACAACCCTGTATCGATTTCTTCTAAGAATAATACGCAAGAACATACCTTTCCAATCACCGTCTCCCCGTTATTGATTTTTCAGTCATTTCAGATACCCATTTCACAATTCTTACACAACTACATTTGTACTAATGTTGGTGTGATGCAACTTTTTCTCCGCCACCTTTTCTTGTAATAAACCTTGAATTTTTTTTATTTTTTTTATTTTTCCCTTTCTTGGCCTTGGTTTCTTCGCCTCCCTCTTCGACAAGTATTTGATTCTTGATCCCTCTTTTATGTGTATATATAAATGTAAGGTTTCTCTATTATTATTTTACCCAACTTTACAGTTTTCTTGTTTGTTCCTCTCTTCTATTTTTGCTGTTTCTTACTGTAAGTCTAATGTTCTCAAGATTTTAGAATATGGGTCGATTTTATGATTCTTTCCTTTTCATCCTACCCCTGTTGTAAAAATACCCATTTCTTGATTGTTTTATCTTTGGTTGATATAATATTCAATTGAGGAATAGAGATTTTTCTTGATATAATTTCAATTTGGGCTTCTTGTTTTTATGGGTCTTCTTCGTTTTTCTTTTGTTAGATCTGAATTTATTTTGCTTTTGGTTTGGCCATTATATTCATTGGTTATTTTGATAATTTCCAAACCATAATAGTGGAGTGCATTTCTTGCAATATAGTACTGTCAGTGTTATATTGACTTAATTCGTTTATAGGAAAAATTCATGGCTGCTCCGTCTGATTTTCAGTTTTGTAAGCGAATTTTCAAGAAGTGGCGGGTAAAAGCTTAAGAATGTGTGTATGTACATATATAACTGGAAATTGTTTGAGAAGCTACAAATTCATTTCTACTTCCTTCAAATTGGCCAATTAACAGAGAATAAAAGAGCCTTCTTTTCATGGTTTTCCTATTAAAGTTTCCAAACTTAAGATTATGTTTGGTGCATCATTATTGGACAAGCCTAGATGGGCTTAAACAAGAAAAATAAATTTAAATCTGGCCTGATTCTAATTCTAATTTTAATTTTGTTCGGTACTATGTACTAACTGTTAAACATCTGCATGGTGTATCATATCTGCAATGCTTGTACAAGTCTGACCTTTTGACTGTGAAATATTATCTATTTTTGCCTTTCTTCCTTTGGAAAATTCAAAATACGCAACCCCCAAATCTTTATGATTTACGTCTTTATGGAATGAAATTTAATGTACTAAATTTAAGGTGCTCTGGTAAGTAACATGAACTCGTTGATTTTACTTCAGGATGGCTGCAACATCATTTCATCAAGCAATTGGAACTATTCAATATAGTGGTTGCTTTAGAAACTCCAACCTCAATCAAGTGAATTGGAATTATTCATTTCAGTTGATCTCCAGTGGTTTTAAGCTGGATATTGCTCTGTTGAGAACTGGAACTTACTGCTCTAGAAAGAGAAGTTTTAGCAATATTCAGGCCTCAACTTCTCAGAGTACTGTATTTGATCCAGTTTCATCCCCATCAAATGGCACGAAAAGCGACTCCAAAAAGAAACCAAGTAAACCTCTTTCTCTTGGATTTATACTTAATGGCATATTTGTTAGGGACGATTTCATGGTCGGGACAATGTTAAGGAAGAAAAATGAAAAGCTAAAATTTTGTTTGTTCCCAGTCCTATTGAGCTGCATACCAAACATTCACTAATATGAAGAAATGAAAAGCACAAGTTTCCACAAAGGCTCGTGCTTTTAATAAGTGAAGGTAACTTAGGCCTTCTTTTTTGCAGGTTCTCAGATATAGATTTTTATTGTTGTTTTTTCAGGTGAAGCTGCATTGATCTTGATTAGGCATGGTGAATCTATGTGGAATGAGAAAAACTTGTTCACGGGTTGTGTAGATGTGCCACTGACCAAAAAGGGTGTGGAAGAGGCTATTGAAGCTGGCAAAAGAATCAGCAATATACCAATCGACATGATCTATACATCTGCATTAATTCGTGCGCAGATGACTGCTATGCTTGCCATGACTGAACACCGTCGCAAGAAGGTAAATTGTCAAGATATGTTCTTGTTGAAACTAAATTTAGTTAATAAGTGTAGACTATGTCTAACAGCTTAAAAAAAATCGATAAAGTTGTTCCACATGGTATTATGGTATTACAATAGGCAAGTGTCTGCATTCAAGTTTTACTACCACTTTTTATGAAAATTGTACACATTTCAGGCCTTTTCAACTACTAAGGAAAAGTGCACTCCAAAGATGAATTTACATTATCATCTTATTTAACCAAAACTTTTGGGGTTTAGGAAGTTGAAAAGAATATGTAGTTTTTGCAACTTTTTACAAACCAATGTACCGATGTGCAGGTACCGATTATTTTGCATGACGAGAGTGAGCAAGCAAGAGCATGGAGTCAAATTTTCAGTGAAGATACAAACAAGCAGTGCATTCCAGTTATAACGGCTTGGCAACTGAATGAAAGAATGTAATATATAACATTTGCAACTATACATCCGACTCTTTACTTGTTGGTCACATTATATGAAGTTTAACCTATGAGTCACCTCTCCATAGGTACGGGGAATTACAGGGTCTTAATAAGCAGGAAACAGCTGAAAGATTTGGAAAGGAGAAAGTTCATGAGTGGCGTCGTAGTTATGATATACCCCCGCCAAACGGTGAGAGCCTTGAAATGTGTGCTCAGAGAGCCGTTGCCTACTTTAAAGAACACGTAAGCATGATTACATTCTTCCAAAGGTAATAGTGTTTTTCTGCTTATTCATGGTCCTCATAATCAATTTTTTTGTGAAACAGATTGAACCTCAACTTCAATGTGGGAAAAATGTAATGATTGCTGCTCATGGGAACTCGTTGAGGTCTATCATTATGTATCTGGACAAACTCACTTCTCAAGAGGTGGGATTTCATGCTAGTGGACTTTGAGCATGTTTGGCTAACTTTTAAAAGAAAGTTACTTTTAAGTGAAATTTTCTTTCTAAACATGTTTTTACTGTTAAAGTATAAAGAAGTTATTTATTTTGAATGTAACTCTTATATTACCGTCAAAATAAATAATTCCCAACTTTAACCAATAAAAATAATTATTTAGTTTAAAACTTAGTTAGTTACTCACAAGTGAGTTCACTTATAAGTAAACCTTTTAAGCTTAGCTAAACACGGTCACTATTGCTGCTTTGTTATCACCTATTTGCGTAGAACATAAAAGATTGTTCCTTTTATCAGGTTATTAGCTTGGAACTTTCAACTGGAATACCAATGCTTTACATTTTGAAAGAGGGACAATTTATTCGCCGAGGTAGTCCAGTTGCACCAACCGAAGCGGGTGTTTATGCTTATACTAAGGTATGCAACTTTTTCTATGTCACACACCAAGGGAGATAAGCACCAATATGCAACTAGATGTAGATGATTTTCAATGCATTCATGATGAAAAACCATTTGATGTTTTAATATCATTGTTTATTTCTTCGTAAATGTCCTGGTGATTGATTTGCTTGTAGAAATTCTACATTTTCGCCTTTTATTATATGACTATGGACATTTGTCCTTCATGTTAATTGGGAGATCATGTGCCAATCAAATGCTTATTTTGCTTTATATTTTTGAGGATCGGGATTTTTTCTATAAGAACTATAAGGGTATTTGGTTACATTAGATGAGCCTACAGTCAGAAATTAAGAATCAAAATCCAGGATTCCAATTCTTCCTGGAATGGGACCGCTAAAATTGAGAATCAATCCACTTTACCATTTTAAATATAATTTAGAATGAGTCAAAGAATTTACGGCCCTACAAAACTCTCTGATTGGCGGATACCACCTAGCTATCCTCTCCACAGCCCTACAAAACTCTCTGATTGGCGGATGCCACCTAGCTATCCTCTCCTTCTTCCCACCCACACATTCTAACACGCTTAGTCACCTACATGATGCTAAAATCAGTCTCCTTCCCTTCCCACAAACACATAAATCCTGAGAGATCTGGTTCATATACAAACGTGATATCATTTCAGTTTTCTACACAAACCAAGGTTTATCTTCAAATTTGATGCTTTTAACCTCTATGTGAATTCAATCTTCTATATGTTAGTACTGAGCTTTATTTTGCACAAATTTGTTGGGTGTTGCAAATGACAGCTTGATTAACTGAAATGAAATAGGGAGCTGAAGAGCATCAAAAACTTTCTGATAAGTAACATGATCCTTCAGTCTCAAGTTCATCTGGTCTTCTATCATATGTTTGTTACTCGTCTAGGAGAAAATATGAACTCTACTCTAATTGAGAGGTATGATTGGGGGTTGGAGTTGACAATTCTACATTAAAACTTGAACCAAAGTTCGCTTGTCTCTACTAGTATTGAGTTAAGGAAAGTTCACGTCAGAAGCTAGTTTTATGGATACAAAGTCCTTTCATGTACTCGACTGAGTTTGAGTAGAAAATTTTATATATAAAAAATAATAATTAAAAAAAAAAAATCAGTTGATATACTTCAATTAGGACCAAGTTGTGTAAAATTCATACATCTGGAGTTCCTTCTTTATCCTCTTGAAGAATTATACATAATTTTACGTCAATTAGGTAGCCAAATTATGTATTTATTTAAATGAAAATAAAAAGAGAAAAATATGCATTTTAAATCAAAGTGCATAACAAGAAAAGGTTGGTGATTTGACTTCAACTCAAATTCGAACCAAATTTTTTTGTGTAACTATTCGTGATTGAACAAAACATGGTAGGGTGTTTTTTTCATTCCAACTCCAACTCCAACTCCAATTCCAAGATAATCAGATTTATGATTCCCCTGGTGAACTTAACGTCTTGCAATGTAATTACTATTTTGGTCTTGAAGTTGGAAATTGTTGGTAAATTCTTGTTTTCTTCTGGCTAAGAGGTCCCAGTGTTATTCATTCAATTGATTGCGCAAGAACATTTAAATGAATATTGTCTTGTGTAGTCCCTTTTTAGTCTTTTGAAGACTTGTTCATATTTAAGTTTATCAGGCAACTAAATTATGTTTTTTACTTGAAATAAAACAAATGAAATAAATTTTGCATTTCTTAAGCCCTTATATAATGGTAAAATGTCTATTTTAATTTCGACTCCTATTCAAATTTCTATAATGATTCATGATTGAACCAAACATCTGATAAAAATTTTCATTTCAATTCCGGGTAACTCGACATGATTTGGTTGTTGAACAAAATGTCACGTAATAGAAGTCTGACAGCTGTGTCTGATTAAGAGGTTGTGACATTACCCAGTCAACTTAGTTAGACTGATGCACATTGTTCAAGGGAGAATACTAGTGACCATGTTATTACCTGCGAAAGTTCTTTAACAAAGTCTCTTGTGACAGCTAATATTTTGAACACCCGGAAAGTGAATTTCCCTGGTTTATTGTGTTAGCTTGGTGTATGATTTTCCTCATGACATCAAATTTTGTATCTTTTATGAAATATCAAGAACCTTTGAATTATTGAATAAAGCAAACACAACCCACACCACGGAGAGAACTAGTTGACTTCCTTTCACTTATTTATGTTGAACTACCTTCTCTATTTCAATTACTGTGTCTATGTATGAATTGCGATCTTTTATTTTTATTCCTTCTTAATTTACAATTGCAGAGATTGGCCCAATACAGGCAGAGGCTAGACGAGATGCTTCAATCATAAATGGGAGGTAGAATAGTAACCATGCCTTCTCCAAAACTTAACTCTTTATTATATCTCATTAACCAACTTCATAAAAAATTTAGACGACAAAATAAATTTAGGGGTCGTTTGGTAGGCTTTTGAAAAAATAAAAGTTGCTTCTGAGACTAAAAATTTGCACTTGGATCTATTTGTATAATTTTCTAGAAGTGATCTGTTTGATAATAAAAGCTTTTTACAGGAAGTTGACGCAATGTGGCTTTCTCGGATACTCTTTTACAAAAAGCAAAAACCCTGCCAAACTGGCATTAGTCTTGAAAATGCCACCTCACATGTAGAATGGATTATTTTTCTGGCACGTGCATGCTATTCATAAATAGGTTTTGAAGAGAGATTTGAATACAAGACTTGTGCAAGTTCCTATTCCGTCATTTGATTTCAACAACATCCTTGATACTAATGTTTATGTTCTTCAGTGCAGCTGACTTGACTTCCATTTGTTTCATCTGCATTGGCATCCCTATCCAACATCTGAAAGAAATGACTTCCATGTTGCAGAATTATGAAATTCCTAATGTTTTTGTATGTCTTGATACAGCTGAGTGCTTTTACTTTCCCGCTTAATGTTTAGGAAAAATTGTTATTACTGAATAATGTAATCTGGAAAAAGGATTGTTGAAAAATGTTCAGCTATAAAGTATTATCCTATAATATAATTTTTTGTTATGTAATATGCCCATGTCCCCCTCCCATAAGGTTATAATAAAGTTTCTTGTATCCCTTTCCTGCCACAATCTAAAAGTAAACACGACTAATCCTAAGTCAACCGGGTTGAGAAATGAAATGTCACTGTTCTTGAAGTAGCCAAACTCGGATTTTACTCTATTGTTTGGCGCAAGAGCTAGTCTTTTGCTAGGGGCCTCAAAGTCGTGAACATGTCAATATCATATTTGGTTGTGTGAATAGTTGTAGTTTATCACAATCTTAATGCAGCATGAGTTATATGCTTGTGAACCTTGTAGGAGTCATGGTGACATCTGTCTTATTGCAATAGATGGTAGTGTGTTTCATGGTTTGGCATAGGGGATGAGAGAGTTAAGTCACTCCGAGGAAGCTAGGTAACTCAATGTCGTCTGCTCGTTTTAGGAAAAAATTAATCATGCGACTAAACTTTCATTTCCATTAGCAAACTCTTTGACAGTTGAATTGTCGCAGCATAGACAAAAGAACACCACGTTCCCTCTGTGTTGCAACTAGTCCCTTCTTCCGTGGCTTAACTCCATGCTTGTACATCTCTCGTAGCTGGAAAATTGTATTTTTAGGGAATCGTGATGTTCGACTAGCAGTGACTAAATATAGTTTTAAGATTCACAGACCTGATCTTTAATTTTATATTCTGCCAGTGACTAGATGTACACCAAAATTTTCAAAACTTGAAATGCTGTCAAGGTATAAAATGAACACTGCTATCATAAGAAGTTGGAGGCTGCTTGGGTTTTCATATTACAAACTTCAATAGCACACCCCCCAACCCAACCCAACACAACACAAAACGAAACCAGAGCAGACTTCAAGAAAGCACGAACAGTAATCGACCCTGACTACGTAAAATGCTGAAATCTTTATTATCAGAAGCCTTAAAAGCTTATTGATGCAACTCAAATTGGATAAGGAAAGAGTTGTACAACTTTCTTCCAAGATGGCCTATTGCTGATAACATCCCACCATGCACTCACATGTTTCCTGTCCCTTATCATGTACCCTTTCCCAACACCATTCAGCAGGTAATAACCAAATGGAAGATGGCTAAGATCAGCCAGGCTGAAGAAATCTCCAGCCAAGTATTTGCTCGTCGACAGCCTTTCCTCGTAGATATCCAAAACTTTCCCCAGTTTCACCTCGTTTTCTTGAATGACATTCTGATCTGGTGTAATTCCCATTTTGGAGCTGAAAACTATATGAAGCACTAACGTGTGAAGTGGGGGCTGAAAATTGTGTGCTTCCACTTCTAACCATTGTTCTACTTTGCCCTTCTCCTCCATTGTCTTTCCAAACAGTTCAGTTCCTTGAGACCTGTACTTTTCTGCATAATACCTGATTATTGCCCTGGATTCTGCACAATATATGAAGTAATAGGTTGTAATAAGTCAAGATTTAAACTATTTTTCTTATTTGGTCCTGTCCTGTCCATTAGAGTGTATCAAACATAAAGAGTTAGCCTTTTTACCATATAAAGTGTAGTCTCCATCTTGTATGGCAGGAAGAAGTCCGAAAGGCTGCAAGAGTTTATTAGATAACAGAGTGAATCCCAATAATTTTCATATGGAAGAAAGTGAAAAATAACAGAAGAATACCTGTAACTTGAGATAATCAGGGCTTATGTTTTCGCCTTTGAAGAGATTGATATCAACAGCCTCAAATTCAATCTCTTTCTCGACCAGGCAAACAATTACACGCTTACTTGAAGCATATTCCGGCCCATAAGCCTTCACCACCATCGCTGCTAGTTCTTGTCTCTCTTCTTATGCAACCGAAGAATAGGCCTACTGGGATTATATACAGCTATGCTCCTTCATAATTCAATGAAGGACACTTTATTACCACCAAATTTTCATTTTTTCTTTTTTGGCTAACAGAAAACGTTTTCTTCATGGAAAACGGTTTCTGATTTTTGTTAGGTGAGACCGAATTTAAGATAGGTCAGGGATAGGCTGAAAAACAGGGGCTGAGGTGTTACATCTGGGTCTATGGGATTTAAACTCCCTGTTTCTCAGTTGGTTCTTGACCCTGGACCAACAGCATTAACCATTAAATTTATATGCAATGTGCTGAAATTAAACAACCAGATAAAACAGAGAAATGAGCTGTAATCCACAGGGAGGGATTTAAAAAAGGAGTGACATTAACGTGGCTGGTTTTGGTAAATAAGATGTTAATTGTAGAGTCCATGGCAGACGGTCATGAATTTTGTTTGTCTTTCCCTGGAAATGTCTCTTTTTCTCACATTGATTGTCAAAAAGTAATGGCCACGGCCACAGCCACAAACAAAAGGCTGGGCATTCTGTTATATAATTGTTCTTTTGATCCTAGTTGTTAGCGAAAAAATGATAGGCATATAAAACAGGTTGCGCGATTCAAATGGCATAGTACATGGACAAGGTCCACTTTGGGGCTTACAATCTAAGCCCACAGTCAATGGACACGTGGCCTCGATTGATTTGAAAAAGTAAACGTAAATAAACAATCATAGAAATCTTTAAAACATGATTTTTTCTAATTTTTCCCCTAATTTTTGAAATTGAACCCTAAAGATTCCATATTTGTGTAATTAATCCTAAATTAAAAAATGGAAAATTTTCATATGTAAAACATTACTCATTTCAAAACTAAGAAATATGTTTAAAACTTCAAAAATCAGATGTTAATTATATTTTATTTATGAAATAATTAATTAAATATATTAAGGTCACAATTCTATACATTTTTATCACAATTATTAAATTAATTTATCACAATGTAATATCTCAATTACAAAACAAATTATTACTGGTGATAGATAATTTAAAAAAAAAAAAAAAAGTGAGAGAGAGAGAGAGATAGAGAGGAAAAGAAAGTCAATAATATAATTAACATAATCAATTTGTACATAATGATGAACAAGCATAACTCTTAAATTTGAATATTAGTCTATTATGTTCTAACTTGACCGTCATTGATATAATTATCTATAATTTTAACCATTTAAATTTAATTATCAAAAATCAAAATGTCCAAATAAAATTGATCATGAAATATGGAATAACAGTTCCCTTTGCTGTTTATGATAAATTTAATTACCTTCAATTTCAGAAGAAAATTGGGACTAATAACAACTGAAGCAAAAGGGAACTTCAACTACTTCAAGTTCTGAAGCAGTGACCAAAAGCTAAAACATCATACACGATTACCAGTTGGACTCAAATTACAATGTTAATGGGATACTCTTTATCTTCCAACATCAGATATCTATACCCCTCTTCTATCACCATCAAACCATCTTCAGTGGCTGTGCTAAGGTGTTCACACGGACTTATTTCAAATTCCACTTCCGTTCTTTCTCCTGAATTTAAGCTCACACTTTGGAATCCGACCAATTGTTTTAAGGGACTCTGATTGCTAGGCCTATCATGCCTTGCAAATAGGAGAACTGGGTGTTTCCCCGCAACTTCCCCTGAGTTCTCGACTCCAACAAGGGCTGAGAACTTGGCTTTCTCACAGGCTTCTGTCCCCATATCGGAAACTGATAGCGAATGGAGGGAGCTTGAGCTTTCAGTTTTTGTTCGAGAATTTAACAATAGATTTAAATGGAGAGTGTTAGGAGTAGAAGAGACGAATTCATATGTGTAGGTTGAGTAGCTGAGCCCATAGCCAAACTCGAACACTTTTTCCCCGTTGTAGAAGCGATATGTGCGACCTGGATACCCTGAGGATGGTTCAGGCCGCATTCTCATGTCAGTCATTGGTACTCGGGTGAAATCCTTCGGATACCAAGTGACGGGTAATTTTCCTCCTGCATGGCAAAGATTGTGTAAGATCAGTGTTCGACTTTCTAGGAAAATCACCAACACAGAAAATAAATGAAGCAAAAAATGAATAGAAGAGAGAACATAAGTTTACATGTCTATAAAAGGAGAATCAATTCACGTTCAAAGTTCTAAATTACAGATATTTTGTCAGAGTTCAGAGCAATGGATGATAAGTTTCAATCAAGATATGAGAATATCTTACCTGGATTATGGTCACCAAATATGATTTCTGCAAGCGCAATTCCTCCGGCTTCACCTGGATAACCCGCCCATAATATGCTTCCAACTTGTGGATTATACTTTGCAAAAGAAACATCAACAGGACCTCCACAAACCAGCACAAGAATAACCGGCTTCTCTGCAGCCTTGGCAACTGCTGTGACCAGACTCTCTTGCTGACCAGGAAGTGTCAAATAGAGCCGATCACGCTCCTCCATTTCTTGACTTTGATCCAATCCCATGACCAAAACCACATAATCTGCTCCCTTTGCTGTATTAACAGCATCGTCGATTGCAACAGAGGTACAATTCACTGCATGGCATCCGGGGTGGAACTGGGTGTTCTTCACATAGCTCTGGAGAGCTTTCAGAATTTCCACAGATTTGCATGGAGGCCCTTCATAGTTTCCAACAAGTACATATGCATTATTGCCATTTGGGCCAATTACAGCAAGAGATGTAATTTTGTTCTTTGAAAGAGGAAGAAGCTTTGCAGAGTTCTTCAAGAGGACAATGCCATTTCTTGCAGCTTCAAGGGCTAGGTCCTGGTGTTCTTGTGTACACACTTGATTAGGGCCAATGTTCCCAAAAAGTTGACCATTTGGATTTCCGTTAAACAATCCGAGCCTCATCCGAACTGTAAAAAGGTTATGAAGGGCTCTGTCTATAGCAGTTTCCAGGAGCTTTTTCTGCTGAACTGCTGATTTAGTGTAGTTTTTCAAGAAAGAGCCACAGTTGACATCCATGCCTGCAGACATTCATATGGAATACGCACTCCATTATTCGCTTTTCTTTTTCAATTGACCACTCCATTATTTGCTTCGCGATTAGATAATATCATGTAAGTTACAAGTTAAAGTATTCTGTGAAACAAATTCTGTCTTCCATGGAAATACGAATCAATCAGGATCATACCATTCAGTGCCCAAGCAAAATACACAGCTACATTATTTTCTCTTGGCAAATATTCTGAAGCGCGTCATAGTAAATTAAATGATGCTGGTGCTCGAATCATTAAATCACATACTGGTTATGGATAGGCCATGAACATGGCCAATACATGAAAACAAAATAAAGTTTTGAGGTGCCCATTACAGCATAAGCTATCGTGTGTAGAATGTTTTAAATTCTTTTAGTTCATTAATTCTGTACAATATTGTCGAGTTCAACATATCGAATGTGCATTGAGATGTGCACAAGTTATCATGCGTACAAAAGTAATTGATGGTTCTGCAAAGTTTCTTCGAAGAAAAACGAAAAAGAAAAGTCCCGTCCTGTCCCAAAAAAATCTCTAAGCAACTTTTTATGCAAATTTCACATAAAATTGAAAGTTCTGTACATAACTATGCAAATTTAATGTTACATAGATATCTGACATGTGGTTTCTTTCTCATATGTCAAAATTAAGATATTTTGAGTGTTGAACATACAAAGCAAGGAATTCATCACTGTTTAAATTACTTACAAAACAAGGAAAATAAAAACCATCAAAACACACAGAAAAAAGAGAGAGAGAGAATAGTTCTACCAGCTTTGAGTACATCTGCTACTGTCTCTTCAGGTGATTTTGTATATTTATGAACATTGTAAATTACTTCAACTGCATCACAGTCGGAGGTGATGTACCTGATTAATAGCCAGCCACATATTAGAGTAGACTAGAGGCAAACAAGTTCATGTTACCAGAATAACATTCAAGAAAGCAAATTTCAATGTTAAAAGAGAATTGTGCAAGTTGTCACTACAGTCATGTTCTACGCTGAACACAACATGTATAATAGAAGAAAACATTGACATAAACAAACATTTGCAACAATAAACACCAGAAAGACCAAATATTTGGATTTTGTTACCTGCACAAAATACCCTTCAAAAATGGTGAAAGAAGTGATGCAAATTGCCTTACCCATGAAAACCCCATTCTCCACGAGCTGTTTTGGTTAAGAGATTGTAGTCAGCACAATTTGGAACCCCATTCACACGGTTATAGGCACACATTATCCCACTGGCTCTCCCATCTTTTACACAACTTCTGAAAGGTGGCTGATAAGTATCTGCCAAATCTTGCTTTGTTACCTACACATTGTATCCCCCATTAAAGCAGAAGAGAAGAACAACTAATTTGGAATTTGCAGCTTTTGCACAGTCGAGGATTACAGAGATCATATATTAAAATAAAAAATTAAGCCTTATTCTGCATAACTTGGGTGTCCGTTAAATGAATTCTTTTTTGTTGCTTCATTAAGTTCGTTACAAGATCCAAATCTATAGCAACAAATTACAGATATCAGAAAAATGAGCTACGCACACTTACACATACACATGCATACATATGTTGACAGAATAAATAACAATTTCAGCTAAACTAAATAAAATAATGCAGGGTATATTATTCAATATTCATGGAACAAATTACAAATAGTGTCCTAACCAGTAACCACATATCCCAATAAAGGCCTACTCATCTTTTCATTTTCAAGAATATATAGACAAATTCATGAAGGTTCACATATATCAAAAAGGAATCTTTGAACTAATGTTTAATTATTACAAGTGCATTGGTAAAACACTACTATTTTTAAAGCAATGATAAAAGTATCGAGAAAAGAATTTATAAACTGTTTGGCAGCAAAGAAGAAAAACTCACAAAATTAGAATTAAAGATTCTTCATAACAAATATAAAACGAATATAAATTTCAATTATTTACCTCAGCATTAAATCCAAAGCGAATAAATCCATTCCAATTATCCAAATCATAAGCAGTGAAGTGTTTGCAGCAAGCAGATGCCTGAAGATGGCCATTGTTTAGTTTCCCACCTTGAAAACTATCCCCTTGTATTCCTCTAACATACGCTACTGCGTAATTTCCCACAACTAATGGATCTTCTCCAGGTGTTTCTTGCCCCCTTCCCCATCTTGGGTCCCTAAAAATGTTTATATTTGGTGCCCAAAAAGTCATCCCCTTTGCTTGCCCTGCATTGTATACAGCCCTTGCTTCTTTCCCAATCGCCTACCAATTTTCAGAATCGCACAAAAAAACATTTAATATGCTTTCAATGTCAAATATATCTCCAATTAAGCTCTATTCTCAATCACAAGAACAATGATAAGAACAACCGAATTATAAACACACAAAGCACACACTTAACGTAGAGCTATATGTTAACAGGTTTAAAGAAATTTCCCTCTTTTATCACAAAAAAAGACTTCCCCTAAACTGCTTTAGGTAGGGTTATTAAGTCGATTTGCAG